CTCTGAGTGTGACCAGGAGCTTTAAATACAATGGACTCTCGCTCCTGTAATTATGTTACGTTTTATGGCAAAAGTGAAGGGATTTTGCAGATATAATTCAAATTCCAAATCAGTTGATTTTGACTTAATCAAAAAGAGGGTTAATTCTAGAGACTTCACTGGTTGTCCAGAGGTTATGACTCAGTGCTCCCAGTGCAGAGGATCCGGGTTTGACCTCGTCAGAGAACTAGTTCCTGCATGCCACAACTGAAGACCTCACAAGCTGCAACCAAGACCCAGTGTAGCCAAATAAATATTTTTTAAAACAGGAGATTATTCTAGATGAGACTGACTAAATTAGCTGAAAAACCTCTAACAGAGGGACCGAGCCCTTGGAGGGGAGGGGAGTTGGTCTCTGGCTGCCTCTGAAGAAAGTAGTCATGCTGTGAAATGTCTAGACTGGGGTGGCCTACAAGAGCCAAAGAAGGAACCTGCAAGAAACTGAATTCTGCCCACACCCAGATGACCTTGAAAGAAGCCCATAAGCTCTGGGTGAGCAGGCCTTAACTGCAGTCTGGTGAGACACGGTGCTCTCCCACCGTCTCCCAGGTAGACTGTGTGTGGATTTCTGGCCTACAGAAGCGGCGAGACAATAAGCTGATGGTGTTCTAAGCCACAAAGGTTTTGGTAACCTGTTACATGGCAGCAGAAAACCAACATGCAGTCCTTGACAGAGAAGCACCGCCAGACTTTCCAGCCTCCTGATGGCAGCGTTTCCTTCAGAGAAGTCGAGGTGTCGTGTCAGTAACGCTCCTGTTGGACTTGCTCCCTGCCTCCAAAATGTAAGCTCCTGCAGGGCAAGACATTAGTCTTCTGTCTCTTCCCTTGTTGCATCACAAGGCTTAGAACAGTGGCAAGCACAGGGCAGGTGCCTGACAAACATTTATAGGATGAATGAGTGTATCTGCTGTTTATGTTTGCATCAGCGCAGAGTGATCTCAAAGTCTTAATAGCATTTAACTTTTAAGTTTCAAAGGCTATTTCTCAAATTACAGTTGACCTTTAAACAACAGGGATTTGACTGTGCTGGTCAACCTATATGTGGATTTTTTTTCCCAACATACCACAGGACTACACAGCCTATGGTTGGTTAAATCTGTGGATGTGGAGCTGTGTATACAGAGGGCTAGCTATAAAGTTAAAAGTGGGTTTTTTACTTTGTTGGGCGTCAGTGCCCCTAATCCCCACACTGTTCACTGATGTATACGGAGTGCCCTTGAAGGAAACCAACAATATATTCTGGGAGATTCATGAGTTCTCAAATCAAAAAACAAACAAACAAAAAATACTAGTATAAATAAATACCCTGTAAACATTTAACAACAAAAAATGATGTATATGAGCAATTAGACATAAACATATGTTTGCTAAAAATAAGTTATATTAAAATCCACTTCCTTTTTTTGGAAAGTATCATTGATGTATCTCACTTTCAGGACACTATTAATGGTCCTTTTACATTAGCCTTCTCAATAGTTAGTTAAATGTTGACTAAAGGCAGTAGAATCAATGGGATTTGATAGAGCAACTATACCAAAAAATACTAATTAATTGCTGAAAGTCATTCAGAAAGCAAATAGTTTCTAAGAGATGCCAGAAAGTTCTGTCCTACTTTAACTGCTGAACACATTGATCAGTGTTTTGAATAAAGACACAAAAGATAGGGTCATCAAATTGACAAGTGATGTATATACAAACACTGTCTCTAATAAAGAGAGACACATTGACAGGACTGACAGGCAAGCAATGAGTCAAAATCAACACGTCCATTATTATGCTGACAAATGGTAAGACACACAGTTTCAAAACACAAGTAGCAATTCAGAATCAGATTTGGTAGCACTTCAAATGAATTAAAAAAGCAACCAAGATCAGAGATTTTTTTTATTTGACTGATAGGTCAATCTTAATTCATTAGCAAATTACACAGCTATTTTAAAAGGCTATGAAAACCCGGGCTGATTTAGGAGAAATAAGAGTGTGAACTGTAAAAATGACATGCTGTAACTATTGTTTCAGTCTGCTTAGCTCCCACCTGGAGTCCTGCATTTAAATTTGAGTGCTACATTTAAAAGGGACATGATTAAACTGGAAAACAGTACCAGGAAAAGAGTTTAGAGGTCAAAGAGGTCTTGCAGTAAACAAAGTTAAATGAATTCCTATCCTGCAAATGCTAATGTTTTTTGCGATTTCAAAAAAAAGGTGCGTGTGTGTGTCTGTGTGTGTGTGTGTGTGTGTGTGAGAGAGAGAGAGAGAGAGAGATAGATATGACACATTGTTTCTTAATTTATTTGAACATGGAACTCTTTCTTCATTGAGAATCTTATAACACCAGTGATCTAAGCTGTAAACTCAGGAAAAGCACCACCTAAGCCCAATGTTCAACATCATTAATTATTAGAGAAACACAAATCAAAACTACAATAAGGTATCACCTCACACCAGTGAGAATGGCCATCATCAAAAAATCTACAAACAATAAACACTGGAGACGGTGTGAAGAAAAGGGGACGCTTTGCACTACTGGTGGAAATGTAAACTGATACAGCCACAACGGAGAACAATATGGATATTCCTTAAAAAACTAAAAACAGAACTATTACATGACCCAGCAGTCCCACTACTGGACATATACTTTAAGGAAACCATAATCCAAAAAGACATTCACCCCAATGTTCATTTCAGCACTGTTTACAAGAGCTAGGACATGGAAGCAACCTAAATGTCCATCAACAGATGAATGGATAAAGATGTGGTACATATACACAATGGACTATTACTCAGCCATTAAAAGGAATGAGGTTGGGTCATTTGTAGAGATGTGGATAGACCTAGAGACTATCATATAGAGTGAAATAAGTCAGAAAGAGAAAGACAAATTTTGTATATTAACACACATATATGAAATCTAAAAAATAGTATAGATGAACCTATTTGCAAAACAGAAATATAGATGCAGACATAGAGAACAAATGAATGGACACCAGAAGGAGAAGGGGCAGGTAAGAGATTGGGACTGACGTGTATACACTGCAATGCATGGAACAGATAACCAGTGAGACCCTGCTGTATAGTGCAGAGAACTCTACTCAATGACCTGTGGTGATCTAGATAGCAGAGAATCCAGAAGGGAGGGGACGTGCATGTACAAATGGCTGACTCATGTTACTGTGCAGCAGAAACTACCGCAATGTTGTGATGCAACTATACTCCAATTAAAAAAAAAAAATGTATACTAGATGTAGACGAAATGTCAGTAAGGGTAATAAACAAGGAGGAGTCAGAGGGGGATATAGAACTGTATCATGAGAAGCAAGGCCAAAACTATCTTGCCGAGGAAAGGTGAAGAGTAAGCCCGGCAAACAACAAACACTTCTCAGGAAATGAGGGAATGCAGTTGTTCTATACTGTCCTGGTACCTAGAGCAATACAGTATTTGCAAGTAAGGCTCAAAATATGCATTTTAACACTCCCTTCAGGAGATTTTTATCCAGAGAGCCTGATAGTTGCTCTAAGGATCAGAAATAGAGCCCAGAACAGGAAGGTCAGCTAAATCTTCAGGAAGATCACTGCAATTAAAGCTTTTTAGTATCACAGCGATGATGGTGGAAACAAGAGTGAGCTGAAGTTTGTACAGGGGCTGGTTAACGCCCAGCAGGAACATCAAAGAAAAGACACCTGCATTCGTCAAGCAGGATGACTTCCAGCACTGCACTTCCGACACCACACGCTCAGGGGCTAGTGTGTAACCTCCACAGTCTCACTCACCCTTACGTCTCAAAGACAAGCACGGAGCCCAGCACAGAATGGGTCTCTCAGAGATACCGGTGGAATGTGTGAATAAATGAAGTGAAAAATAAAAGTATCTGGCTCCAAAGTCAAATGCAAAGAGAATGGCTATTTCATTTTTTGGAGATTGCTAAATACGGCAGTTTTGAATCACAACGTTACTCACAAATATAAGGAAAACAGTCTTGTAATAATTTCACATCTTGACTTGGAAATCAACTCTGAATTAAATCACACCAAGGGTTGCTGTGAGGTTCCCACAGTAAATGTGTGAAAATGCATTGCAGATTGTAAATGACTATCAGAAGGACGGGGTGATTATGGTGATAATAATCCAGCCCAACAGATTATGATAATTCAAAGGGCTGGAAACTAACCTTGAAAATGAAACCACCTTTTATAGCCACAGGTCTGAAAAAGGTCCATTAGCCATGTGTTCTATTGTCAAAGGAGGGCATATTTTAAAACACCTTCAAAAATGTGATGGTGTTCTAATTGACCTGGTAAGTTAAGCTATTTATAGTTTAGTCTAAGCAAATTTCTTCAGTCATGAGACAGCAAATTCTCAACAAAGAATATACATTAAATCAACCTTATATTTAGAAATTCTTGAAATAGAAAGCTTTCTTTCACTAGATACAAAGTCTAGACTGTCAGATACCATATTTGTATCCATTTCCTAGAAGACTGAGGGTTCTTTCAAAATACATCTATCATTTCTCCACAGTGGCTGATCAAACCTGTCACTGAAGAATGTTCTGAACAGGCAACTTGTAGTACAAGCAGGGTTTATTTCTGTCAGACTGACTGCTGAAGTGTGAAAGAAACTCATTAAAAATCTCTTACTGTGAACTTACATTGTTTAAAACCAAAAAAAAAAAGAAAACGGAAAAAGAGAAAGAAAAACCCAAGAAAGAAAAAGGAAAAAAAAAAAAACTTAATGAAAGGTACACTGATCCTGCAGATACACTCATATGGTGCTTTTCTTTCTTATTCTTCTTGAGAAAACAATTAGAAGAGAGCAATTAGTCCTGGGAAGACAGCCCACACTGACTATTCCAGGAAATCAAATAAGATCATTTTATTTTATGCTAATATTATGAAAAGCTAAGGAAGTAGATTAGAATATTGTACTATAGGAAAAATGACACAAAATAAACAACATTGTTTACCTTAATCTTAAAACGAGGTTTACGGCACAAGAAGCTTCTCTGTAGTCTTCACTAGCATTGGGTAGGCCCTTTAAAAACAAAACAGCCAACGGTTATAAACTCGGGAAACAAACGCATAAAATCATGACAACTGTTGATTCATAAGAGTCCTTTCTTCCTGGAAATTTCAACACTAGTCCTTTTATTACAGGCCTATTATTTGGGCCCATAACACCTCTGTGTGAAGGCTGGAATGATGTTTCTCTCCCATCACAACTGTGGATCTGAATGTTTCATATAGAAAGCCTCAGTAGGAGGAGGGGCCCTGTGAACAACTGGTATATGCTGCGGTAAGTCCAAAAAAGAAAGATCAGCCATCTAAAGGGGCACCTTGCAACCTGAGCCATGGACTGCATCTACTGGGCCTTGGAGATGCATGAAGGCTGGGCACTTTAAACCTCAAAGATGCAGAGGAAGAAGGAACCTAGCAGATAAGGCCAGGGTTTACCTTTCTCACCTAGAGTCTGTTTCCTTGAACACAGATCATCAGTCATGAACGCTTCTATTGAATAGGCCCTTCCTATTTTATGAATCCCTGGACATGAGACCTTCCTGTCAGAGTAGAAAAAATAAGGAATTTTTGGTCAAGAATTGGCTCTGCCACTGACCAGCTTTGCAACAATGGGCAAGTCATTCTGTGAACGTATTTTCTCATTTACAAAATGGGGATAATATTTGCCTTGAAAGTTTTCTGGGAGAACAAATACTATATATGCAAAGGAGTCTAACTATACCATGTTATACAATACTAGGTATCCTAATTCCTTTTTGTTTCCTTTATTCTTTGCCTTCTGATCCTTTATTACTCCTACATCTCCTTTTATCATTCAACCAATCCCTACAATTTATCTCAAGGTGCTATACTAAGTTGCCTGCTAGGTTGCTTCAGTCGTGTCTGACTCTATGTGACCTCATGGACTGTAGCCTGCCAGGCTCCTCTGTCCCTGGGGTTCTCCAGGCAAGAATACTGCTGTGCGTTGTCATTTCATTCTCCAGGGGAATCTTCCTGATCCCGGGATCGAATCCATGTCTCTTACGTCTCCTGCATTGGCAGGCGAGTTCTTTACTTACCACTAGGGCCACCTGGGAAGCTAAGCTGCTCAATACAATGTAAAGACATAAACTGAATCCTGGCTTCGCCTCTAAGCTGTTGTGCAACCATGGATGAGCCACTTGGCCTCTGCAAATCTTTGCTTCTTCATCTATAAAACAAGGGTCAAAGCCTAGATGTCTGACCTGCAACCATGAAAGCCCATCACTCCATCTCCTCTTCATACAGCTATTTCATAAAATACAGATCGGGTGGAATAGAAATAAATTTAAATGGAATATGCAGATTCAAGGGGGAAATTTGATTACCAGGCTGGTAATACTTAACAGTATAACCACTTTGGGCTTCCCTGGTAGCTCATCTGGAAAGAATCCATCTGCAATGTAGGAGGCCCCGGTTCCATTCCGGGTTGGGAAGATCCCCTGGAGAAGGGATAGGCTACCCCCTCCACTATTCTTGGACTTCCCAGGCAGCTCATATGAAGTATCTGCCTGCACTGCAGGAGGCCTGGGTTTGATTCCTGGTTTGGGAAGATCCCTGGAGGAAAGTATGGCAACCCACTCCAGTATTCTTGCCTGGAAAATCCCATGGACAGAGGAGCCTGGCAGGCTACAGTCCATGGGGTCGCAAAGAGTCAGATACAACTGAGCGACTAAGCATAGCACATAACCACTTTGAGAGCCAAAGGGCTTGCTATCAACTACATGGCAAAACCAAAATGCGGGGCCTACACTCTGAGTTTGCATCCATAGTCCCTACCCTGGATAGCTCAGCATCCTTCATCAAGACCCAACACAACTCATGGCACACGAGTTCTGTCACATAACTTTTAATACGAATTCATTTCACAGTCACTGAACTATTATTTTTACAAGGAAAGTTGTAGAGATAAATTGGCTCATAAAGTTCAAGGATAAAAGAATTACAAAAAAGTCATAGAAATCCAACCAGGAGCAAAGAAAGAAAAGTATCAATTAACTATAATGTTTTGCGACTGGAACCTAGTAGAATGGTGAGTCATTTTCTGTCCTTTTCCCATTTCACACAGTACTAGCAATTTTGGAAGCAGTCTGGTAATCAGTTCTTGCTTTTGAACCTATCATTTAAAGGTTGGAGGCCCTGAGAAGCATGGTCAATAGTGACAGTCCTCTTTTTTCCATCCCCATTAAAAAAGAGAGTTTACAAGCCCCTGCTCTGGAAGCACTACCCTGATACCGTCTATCTTTCTAAAATGTCAGGCTTTGGGGTTTTTTTTTAATCTGTCTTCAAAGCATTTCAAACGTAAAATGACAGGCAGAGAAACGTACCTGAGAGTCCTGCACAGACAGAGACTGCGTCTGCTCGGGGAGGCTGCTGGCGTTCACCACCGTCTGTTAAGAGAGCCACCATCACGACACGTTAGGACGCCAAAATGGGACATTAAGGTCAGGGTGGTTACATTAAGTCTCAGTTATCAGAGACAAACATCTTACATAATTCGAGTAATTTTAAAGCACCATTTCCTGGAGTGTGGTCCTTTGACAACCTGCGCTGGGATCACCAAGGACACAACTTAAAGACTCCTGGGCACCACCTGGCCTATGATTCAGAATTTCACTGAGACAGGAGAGAATCTTTAATAAGGTGCCCAGGTGACCCTTACGCATCTAGAGAACCACTGAGCTTAAGTGAAAAGGCATGGACAATTTGGTATTTAAACTTGATAACAGAAAGATGCTCAAGGACCTTCTTTTTTTTTTCTTGTTGCACAACTTCATCTCAAGACGGGAGCCCCTAAATGAAAGGATGTTAGGCTTAGCACAACTTGCCCCCTTTAATCATTACTTTGAACAATTTATTTGCAGCACTGGATTTCAAACAATATCTCCCCCAGAAGAGAATCTAGAGCGAGAGATTATATTTTTCCCGCTAAGCTAGACACCTGACCCCAATGTGATACCCCAAATACTTCTGCCTCAAGCCCTACTTTTGTGAACTCTGCCCTGGAACAAAACTTGAGAGACAAACTGAAAGAGACACAGCATCAGCAAAGAATGAAAAATACATGTTATTCCCTAAACTTACCATCAGTTCTAAAATTATCCGAAGTCATCAGAAATTCTTTGTGCCAAGAGTTTTCTAAAGTTTGAGCATAAAAGTTTTGTATGCTTCTGCAAAGATAACTGTGTCAGGAATGAAGAAATAGGGGGAAGTGCACCTGCATCTGCAATTTACTTTGAACTGCATCCAAAATCAAAGATGGACTAATAGACGAATAGACAACTGTGAGATGAAGCAAGTATAGCAATGGCAGAATCAAGGTAATTGCTGGGTAGATGTTCACTATAAAATGCTTTTAATGTGGTCATATTTTGGAAATTTTTCACAGGAAAATGTTGGGGTGAAATGATTATATTAGAAGAACAAATAACCTGTATTTACTAACCAGCCAGAGGACCTTCGCCCACCCCAAATGATTTCTTGTAAAGAATTTTCCAGACTGATTCCACAATCTTCTTTAAATTTTTTAAAATATATATATTAAAGTATAGTTGATTTACAATGTTGTGTTGCTTTCTGGTATACAGCAAAGTGATTCAGTTACACATATATATTCTTTTTCATATTCTTCTGTTGTGGTTTATTACAGGATATTGAATATAGTTCCCTGCGCTACATGGGAGGATCTTGTTCATCTATTTTATATATACTAGTGTGTATCTGCTAATCCCAAATTCCTAATTTAACACCCTCCCCCCCACTTTTGGTAATTATAAATGTTTTCCATGTCTGTGAGTCTGTATCTGGTTTGTAAATAAGTTTTTTTTTTTTTTTTTTTTTAATGCTTTGGTTTTTGGTCCTGAGGCATGTGGGATCTTAGCTTCCTGACCAGGGATTGAACCCTCACCCCCTGCATTGGAAGGCAAAGTCTTAACCACTGGACTCCCAGGGAAGCCCAGTAAAAAAGTTCATTCTTACTTAAGGTTTGAGATACAACCAAAAGCCACATGAGCACCTACAGAATATTCTACCTTCAGTCAAAGAAGGTTTGTAATCTGGAAAATTCTTAAGGGCATTTACCACAGGTGACAACCTCTCTTGCCCCTGGGGAGGCCCATCTCCTGCCCTGACCCTTACTCCTGGACCATCAGGGGCAGAGAGAACTACTTAGCTGGACTGGGGGCTGGAACCCCATGAATACCACATAGCCTCACTGTGTAGGTATAACCCTGCATGTGAGAAAAAAACCAGTCTCCAGCCCCCACTGGTATACGAAGTGTGCAGAGATGTACAGGAGTGGTGGAGAGAGAGTGTCCCTGCACAAAATCTCTTCCTTGACAACCAACTCTAGTCTGCTAGAGCTCACCACCACAGGTCCCATTCTATCAGTTTAGGGCATGACTTCTGGGTATACACTTTCAAATGTCAAAACTTACAAGAAAGCTAACACATGAAGCAGTTGTCATTCATTAACAGTAAAATATATATTTGTCTATTGGACTTTTTTTTTTGCTTTTAAACAGTTCGCTATTAAGACGGACACTTGAGAAAATGAATGTCTTTATAGGAAGAGGGAAGAAAAATAATAGATTAATACTGGACACAGCCCTGGAGCCAGGCCTCTGGGACTGAATGAAAGAGGAAAAGATCGTGGAATGGAGAGAAAAAAGTGACAACATCCATTTTTCTAATTTTTCGTATCGCTCTGTCTAATCTTCCCATTTTCTGTTTTTAACAATGCCATAACTAAATGCAATGTATTATCCTGGATTGGATCCTGAGACAGAAAAGGGATGTCAGTGGATAAACCAGTGAAATTCAAATAACATCTGAGATTTAGCAGACAATAACGGAGCACTGACATGACTCAGCAACTCAACAACGACTAACAAAAGATCACTGATGGTTTTTAGTTGTGACAAACGTACCAAGGCTACAAAAGGAATTAACAGTGAAAGAACACAGAGGAGGAATGGATGAGAACTCCAAACTATCCTTGCAGATTTTCTGTTACCCTAAAATCACTCCAAAGCAAAAGGCTTCTTTTCAGAAATACAGAAGACTAATTTTAGCCACAACTAGTTAGAAAGCCAGTCACCTGCAAAAAGAACACCTTTTTAGGAAGTGATATCATAAAAACATCAAGTTAAAGCCAGCTGTGATGACTACAGCGCAGTACAATCAATTTGGAGGGAGAAATAAAATCTTGGCCTCCAACGACAAATGGGTATAAGACAAACAACATGAGAGCTGACAGGCTTTTGGAAAACGCAATGTCATCAGAAGTAATTTTAAGAAGCTAAAGGCAGTTTTAACAATCATTCAGCGATGCAATGAATTTAGCTTTTACATGGTGTCTAAGCTGTGGTACAATTCACTTACCCTAAATCCACACCAAATGTATTTTCTCTTCAGAATGAAATATCAGAGTTTGGAAACAATGAACCTAGCCTAGACTCTATGACAAAATTCTTCAATATACCTGCTGCAGCTCCTACAGAGTTTCTGTCATCAAATCTGCCCACTTGGCATCATTGCTTTCAATTATTAAGAAAGAGGACAACTTTCCCAAAGGGATTTCTGAAGTGTCACAGTTGTTTGGGAGGAGGGAGGCTTATTTGAGACTTCTAATAGGCAGATATTTAAAACAAATCTTCAGAGATGTGGAGCACACAACCCTCCCAGATTCCGGTTTGGACTTCTGAATTCAGAGCAGCTGGTGTGGTTTTCCTAGTCAGTGGTCCTTGATCCTAGCTAGCCACATGTCAGAATCATGTGAGCAGCGTTTTATAAATCAGAATTGCCCCAGACATGACTCCAAACCACCAAATCGTAATTTGATTTGCTGGGCCTAGGGATTTGCATTTTTAAAGCTCTCGGTTTTTCTGATATGGAGTCAGGATTGCAAATCATGTGTTCATGTCACCTAACACATGAATTATTTACTTACTACAAATTAATAATTAATAGTAGGTGACTAAAACTTTGCAAGGCTATTTCTAAAAAATCAGGTTAGGTACACCCTAAGACCAATTTCTCACTGAATTTGGCTATGAATCTCAATAGATAAGTGGTGTAACTCTGCAACTTGACAGTTTACACCAGAATGTCTCATCTCCAAATACAACCCAGTACCAGGCACATCTACCCAATGTCCCTCTGGCAAATACCCCACCCTGGCCTTCTCAATTTTCTCCAACTAATGCTTTAATATAATAACTGGACATTCTGTCTTATGCTTCCCAGAAAGCCTAACAGTCCCTCACAAAACCAGCATTTCTAAAATGCCCCTCATTTATTGGAGCATCTCAATCTAAAGAGGGAACTACTAAGGTTACTTTTTCTAAACTTCAGCTTGATCATAAAACGTCTCCCGTCTCTTCCACTCTTTCTCACCTATTCATAAATACGATAGAAGTATCCAGACATTTGTTTAGTGTCTGATTTTCAGTACATGGGTGTATATGTCACCAACAAAAATGTACAGCATACCTACTAGATGCTAAGGGAAGACAAACATGAATAAAATACCATCCCAGTCACCCAGTGGCTTATAGCAAAGTAAACAACTCAACTGCAATTTAAATGATAAGTATTACTGAAAAGCTTATTAATATGTAAACACAGTGGCATTTCAATGTACCATTTAGTACAGACTAAGCATTTTCCCTCTAAAAGATGTTTAAAGGTAAATGGTGCACAGTCTGAACTGTATATAGCTTCCCCCCACTCCAGTTTTATTGAGGTATAGATGACAAGATATTTAGCATGACACAGCTTTTGATAATAGCAGCTATAAAAATCCAAAGTCAGCAGATTCTATCACAATTCTGTGTACTTATGCTTTATTTATATGTGCACCCCTCAAAACGCATACACAAAAAAATGTTAATGGAATATAGTCTGTAATAGCAACCTCAATGCTCTCACCAAGAAAGAAATGGTTAAATAAACATTTGTGATATGGAATACCCCTCAGCAGTTCAAAATAAAGAGGCAATTCTATAGCAAGTACTGTGGAGAGATTTCCAAGATATAAGGCAAGATGCAAAATTTTATAGTTTTTATGATCTTAAAGTTTTTAAAATGATATGCTAGATTTCTTTAGGTACATATTTGTATGTGAACAAACAAGAGAAGTTCTGGAAGAAAACAGTGCAAACTGATAAACTTTGGCAAGACAGGACAGTCACAAGGGTCTGAGGGGCAGCTAGATAAAGTGGTCCCTTAGAGTTATTTCCCTTTAATTCTCCCATACCTTTTACAAATCTTTATGTCCCTCTGAATAAGGCCTACCCAGATCAACACATTTAAAATTATCAACTCCTACCATACCATACCTCACCCTCTACCCTATTCGACTTTTTTTCCCATTACTCCTATTCCATTGTAACAAACCACATAACTTACTTATGAACACTACTGGATATAATTTATCTATTCCCACCAGAATGGAGGCTTCACAAGGACTCTGTTTTCCTCTGTGGTGTATCCCCCAGTGCCTACTAAAACAGTGCACATCATATGCTCATTACACATATTTAGATGTATCATTTATATAATTTACTTATATTTGTGGAATAAATTCAACAATTTTAATTTCCTTTATAATAGATTAAAAAATAGTTTTTGCTTCACATCCAAAAAAGCAATTTGGTGTGACTGGCAAATCAGGGGGTTACTTTAATTAAAAGCTGAAAGGACACAGGAACCATCATTGGAGAGAATGAACATAGCACATGATACTGAAATGTTAGCCCTGCCGAAAGCAAATAAACAAACAACAAAAAAAGAAACAAACAAAAATGGTGGAAGTTGTGAAACAGCAGGTGGAGCTGTCAGGTGACTTCTAAAGTTTGGTAGGAGCGTTTACATTCAAACTAATGTGTACTTTCACAGAAATAAGCCTATCTGTACACTTCCTTAATTATAAACCAAGTTCCCAGTATCGGCACAGATGCCACTGGGAAATCAAATGAGTCTAGATACAGTGAAGTGTCCAAGACTGCAAATCCCACTCAAGAAGGCTGACAAGGATGTTTAATGATAAATTCACAGCATGCCATACACCACTCTCTTTCCTGGCTATGAAGACAATACATTTGCCAAAAAGATACTGCTATTACTCAAATAACAGATCAGTTTTCAGGGCAATTTCAACAAGCACAGAGTAAGATATTCTCAAAGTAAACTTAACAAATCTTCATGAGGAAAGACCCACACCCATCTGTCTGTACTAGTAAGGTAGGACTACAGTGAATACCATTCAAAGAAGGTGTCCCGCAGTGAACCAATAACGAATGATTTTTGAGTCAAGAATGCTGTCGAATCATGTTACTGGGTTCTCTTTCGAGGGAGAACTGACACCTTCTTATTTAGAGACACTCTTAGATGAAAAATGACCGGCACTTCCCTCTAGATAAAACAGAAAAGTGGGCAAGAAGAAGGCAGAGTTCACGACAACAGGTTAAGATCATTCCAAAAACTTGGCAGGATATGTGTGTGGCCAATGTGTCCTTCTGTGGGACTCATCACCATCCGTATAACTTCCTTGATCAAAGCTTATATTTCACTTATAAAATAGATTAATTCATATGATAAATAAAGGTGGAAACAGGATCTGAAGGAGAGTTACCAATAGGAGGCAGGCCCATCAATGAGACATGAGAATGAAGACAGAATAGAGGGAGGGGAAGATGACAGGGGAAAGAATGGCTTGTGACTCTGATGTTCTCTTCTCAGATGGTCCATCTGGTTATTTCCACTTAAAGCACAATGATAAGATTTACTCCTTTTAATTACAAGGAAATGTCTGCTAAATTTAAAGAGTTGGAATGGATATCATGTGTAGCCCAAAGTCTTCTGTTTTCTTACTGAGAATATATTAATTACTTGCTTTGCAAATATTTGGAGTTATTTAAATATGCTCAAACTTCCTCTAGGAGAATTAGCAAGTTCTCTGAACTACAGTCATCATTAGTCATTAGGATAATTAACCAGTGGAGGAAGTAAAGTTAATCAAAAGATAGCCAGTTCTCAAAGGGAAAAGGATAAAAGAGTGTGTACTGCCTACTAAGTTGCCCAGAAGATTTAAAAATCAAGACCAACAAATTCAACCTAGAGTTTCTAACCATCTGAATATTTGCTTTATGGTAAACCAAAAATCAAGGAGAAATTTTCCTGTATGCCTACTCTGTTTTCTAAGTGACATAAGAATATAAGATTAAGTGAGCAACTAATTTGTGCTAAGAACCCCACTGAGTGCTTTATTACGTGATTTCATCAGTCCCACAGCAATTCTGTAAGTACTGTGATCCCCGATATTTGACAGAGGAAGAAGCTGAGGTTCAGAGAGTAAAGCAATCTGCCCCAATATACACAGCTCCAAAGTACTGAATTGGCTAAAATATTCTTTTGGATTTTTCCATAAGATGTCATGGAAAAACCTGAATGAAGTTCTTGGCAAACCCAATAAGTCAGAAGGCATCAAGATCTGCCAAGTTTACATGCCTCTTTTTTCCCTACACCACAAAAACAAAATTCTGAACGTTCTTCCCCAAACAGCTCAGACTCTAATACTGGCAGGCAGAGGTGTAGGGGAGAGAGGAGGCAAAGAACTAAATAAGTAACCACACTCACCTCTGGATTTTCTTCTTTTACTCTTCGTGACTGTAAAACAAATACATATTCATTAATACATACACGCCTCAAAAAACCACAAAAATAAAGCGGACACAAGTCAGCTAGCCATCATCAAGGTGATCTACCTTTTCTTGAGAAAAGGCTGCTTTCCCTTCTTCACTTTTCTCATCCATCTCGTCGTCGCTCCACTCCCAGTCACCGTCTTCGGTTTTATGAAGGTGACCGCTTGACCCTGGAACTCGTCTCACCTGGATCAAAAGAAACCCACTCAAAGCTTCACCAGTCGAAAGTGAACAGTGCTAGCGAGTGTTGCCACTTGGGTCCTACAGCAGATACCTACCCTGAGAATAACCTGAGCGGTAATGGATTCAGGGGCAACTCGCAAGGATTGCCCCAAAAGACTACACAGCTACCGACACGCATCCTCTATCCAAAGATACGGTTTCTTGAAATGAGTTACTAAACGCGTGTAGAACAAAATATTTTGGAAGAGTACCACACATGTCAGCCATGAAGGATCAAACCCTTTTATCACTCTGACTTCAGTTCGTATTTTATGAATCACTACACAGGAAAGGCCACATGGGAGGTTTCAAAACAATTGCTTAAGGAAATGCATGGATGCAAGCAACAGACTGTTGGTTAAGAGGAGGTGAGGGACCTGGGCAGCTGCTAGCCTAAGGCATCTGCCATCTCCAACCTACATTACAAAAGCAAGTACCCCTCTATTGCCACCTTGCTCTTTTTCAGAATCTGACATCATGCTTGTTTTCCCTGGATTCTGTTCAACCTCCTTGAACAAAACAGAACAACATTATTCTCAACACACCATAAAGCCCTTTTGAGACCTGTGAGTGCTAGGAACACAGCAAGATAATCAGCAACTGTGTCAGATGATCTTAATAGATAACAATCTATTATAACAACTAGATAGCAATTAGCTCAAAAATACAGAGATGTGGTCCATTCAGGTATGCTTTCCTAGTGTCTCTGTGTTTGAAAAGGCAAAACTTTTCAAAGGAGAGGATGACTGAGAATAATGAACCTCTGACCAAAGTAATTTGCTTTAAAAAAACAGACTCAGACGTGCTTAAACTAAGCAATACAGCAAGTGAACATAACAGCCTGTGGTCCATCAATTCAGAGAAGCCACAAGTGGGAAAAAAAAAAAAAACAACTTTGGAGACTGTCTAGTCAAACCCCCTCATTTTACAGATGGGAGAACAAAGGCCCAGAAGTGACCCAAGATCACACAGGTATAAGGACAAAATGAAAATGCCCATTCAAATGCAAGTCTTTCTATGCCATTGAATAGTAACTGTGAAAAAGCAGCCGTCTAAAAATGTCCTTGGAAGACTTTGAAAGAGTATGACATGAGGAAAGACTTTTACATAATAGAAACTATTCACTTATACTGTGGGAAGTTCATGAGTCCCAAGGCAAATAGCACAGACTTCAGATGTAAAGCAGCATTTACATGCACTGGATCAATGTGAAGTCATAAACAACGCAGACTTGGGGTTGGGTTTGATTTGAAGGCATTACCATGTGGATGCTGTCCAAGCAAGCCTGATCACTTTGTCTTGAGCTGCAACATGGAAACTTGAAAAGCTACCAAAAGGTTCTTACTCATAATCACAAACTGTTATGCTCAATTTTTTTTAAAAAAAGCTTTTTCCTCCACTTCAAAAAAATTTTTTTCTAACTAATTCACCTTCAAAACACTTAGCACTTAGTAAAACTCCTTCTGTGCCTGGCATATATATTTTTCCACTTGTGTTCTGAGTCACTGGAAAGACCTATTTAATGATAGTGATTTTAATGATGCTTATAGATGTTGGCAACGTACTGCAGAAAAGATGCTGAAATGCACTTTAGGATTTTTAGAACAGATTGCTCATTTTAAAGTTATATCAAAGAAAGGGATAATGAGAAAATTTTCTGTTGACGTATACAGTAAAATCAATTATTTTCTTAGCAACATTAATCATGATGAGAGCAACAGAGGAAAATCTGTTAATGACTACATTAAAAGAAAGCATTTAAAGCCACATCTACTGCAAAACATACTATTAACTAAGAAGTGAGAAGACAAGTAAAATTGTGGATCATAAACAGAAAAATACTCTACCTTCACTCAGACTGTAAAATCAAAGCATGGTTGATGATTACTAACATTCACGTGCTCATTTAAAAGAGCATACCACGGAAATCTCTCTGAAAGCAGCCAGATAGTGCAGCTTCCCACCCTAAAATTCAGTTGATGTTCTTTTCCCTCTCATTCTACATTTAGAAAATCTGTCCGTTTTGTTTCTACAAGAGGCAATCAACTAAAGACAATAAAATGGCCAGCTTCTATTTCATTTTAGAACCCTGTCTCCCTCTTCTTGGTTTTATTTGCTGGAAGAGAGAAAGATGAAGCAAAATGTCTAGGATTATAGCCTCGGATATTGAAAGAAATGGTGGCGTTGGCCTTTAAGCAATAAACAGTGGTTAAACAAATGGAGTGTAGAAATTAAGACAGAGAACAATTAAAAAATCTATGTAAAATGAACATAAAATGTTCATGTAAGTGTAGCAAGAATAAGAACACAAACATATTCCTTAAGGAGGTTATCTCGGTTTACTGGAAAGGAAAAAACTCGCAGCATAATTTGAAACCCAGGTTCCACGGTGTAGTTACAGGACACTGACCTCTAAGGAAGAGACCAGAAAGCAATTTTACAAAGTTACATCCTTGTAGGGAATTTGTAAGGATGACAGGAAACTTGGAGGTCTTAGAGTTAAGGCAACCAAGTTTCACATAGGTTAAACAAATAGTTTTTTTTTATTTTAATTTATTAAGGACCTGAAGAATAATCTACAAAACAGAAGCTTCAAAAAACAAAATGTGTAAAAGCTTCTGTCTTGCCCCATTCCTTACAATGATGAGAATGGAGGCTACTCACCCTTAGAACAATGCTTGCATGCCAGTTACATCAGTCTTATTCTATTAAATGGCCCATTCACTTAGTAAAGCCAAGAGGTGACTGAATGAAATTTTTCCTCTGTCAGGGGTTTAAAAAATAACCCAATGATTCTCAGAGAAATGAGCTCAATTTAAGACATAGCTAGAGGTATTCATAAGCTCACAAACTCCTCAGGTCAGAGCTGGCAACAGCGAGGTTAGACAAGACTTTACAAGCAATAACATTCATTCCCCAAACTGGGAATAAAATACAATCGAGCAGTTCTATTTATACCAAACCTCTGGGAAGGAAAGTGATATTATTTTCTCTTTTTCAAAACAGTATTTTTATGAAAATCCATTAAAGAAATGAAGTTCTAATTCCCACAAAAAAAATAAGTCAGGCTCCACCAGAGGGAACAAGAGTGTAGTTCCCAGGCCATTTCTTGTGGCCATGGGGTCAGGTGTCAGAAGCAGAGCTAGGACGGATTGGCTAGGGAGAGGGAATGGCAGCAACAAGGGAAACGGTCCCTGACTCATCTTCCCAGGGTTGCCGCTCAGAACAGGAGCTCTCTATAAATACCAGGACCCAGGACCTCCATACAGTATCTCAGGTCACCACCTGGCCCCAGACATAAAAACAAGAGGAAGCACGTGTACAGGCGCATACAAGAAAGCCAGAGGAAGCACTTTCTGCATAAGGTGTTAAATGTTAGAAATGGAGGTATGTTTCTCTAACAAAACTCCTGAATAAAGGATGAATGTGACCCAAACAAACAGTTTATTCCAGTTTGTCTTAGTCTTGCACGCGCTTTCTTCCAAGACACTGCCCACCTGCTGATGGGTGCCACGTTAACTCCTCCCAGGAGAGGGATTTGGGGACCTCCTTGGAATGATTTTTCCTGTCCCTGGAAATTGTATATTCCACTTTCCCTTCACTGGCTGGACAAACTGCCTGCCCCGCTGCAGCCTGAACCCAAGGCTCACATCCACACACCAAGAACACTCGGCATGGCAGAAAGCAGCATTCAGTAACTTTTCTCTTAGCAGGCATTCTACTAACCAGACGTGGAAAACATGCTTCTAATCAACTGTTATTTATAATGTCCCCGAGGCAAGCCAAGCAAACAAAAAAGCCTTCCAAATCATCAAAAATTAAAATTAAACCCACCAAGTTTTCAGTGGTAAATAGTTTACTGTCTCCAGGGCTTATACTCCGACATTGGCCCCTGTGCCCACCAGCTCTCCGGCACCTCCATCCCACGCCTACGGCCTGGCCTCCCTGGGCTCTCAGGCCCTCTGTCCGCTTCCGCCTCTCCCATCAGTCCCTCCTGGCTTCTCCCATATCATAGAAAGCCTGGAGGCCACAGCTGACGCTCTTGAAGCTGCACGTATTAGCCCCCCACGTCCCCGTGCCCGCTCCTGGCCAACCGCACCTGGAGGAAAGCTGTGGGCTCAGCCTGAGCCAATGGAGTGGAGGCACACCGCCTGGAGCCATCACAGGGGATGGCACTCCTAGCTGACACAGCAGTCCGGCTGCAACCTTGCCACTCGTCCCCAGACGAGCAGCAACAGCGACATCTAGAAAGGCTGAATCGTGGGCCCCACCCCAGACCCACTCAATCGGAATCCTCCTTTTTGCAAGCTCTCGGGTGATTCACAAGGCCACTCAGGTTAGAGAAGTGCCTTGCCCACTGTTGGTCTAGGCTGTCTCTCCAGGCCATAATACCAGCTGTTACACATATAACAAAAGTGACTGCGCACTTGAAACATATTAACCAATTTAAGTCAACTCCCAGGTGTAACGAATCTGCCTGCCAATGCAGGGGACTCGGGTTCAATCCCTGTGTCAAGAATATGCCCTGGAGAAGGAAATGGCAACCCACGACACTATTTTTGCCTGGAGAATCCCATGGAGAGAGGAGCCTGGTGGGCTACAGTCCATAGGGTCACAAACAGTTGGACACGACTGAAGCGACTTAGCATATCATAGGAGTATTTATACAAAGGAAACGAAAATAGTACAAATTAGGCACTGAACTCCCCATTTAAGGCCAAAATAGGAGTTCTCAAGGTTTACAAGCACACCACTGATCAAAAGACTCAGCTCACGGAAACACTGTAAAATTTGATGACATTTCACATGAATTTAGTAGTTCACATGAATTTAGTAATAGTCCCTGAGAATAACTACCTTCATTTACAATGGCAAATATCTCACTTTTATTATATAAGCCTCTCAGATTTCACCTTTAAAAGCAACACACTAATTGATTTTTACATACCAAACATTAGTAATAT